GGGACATTCTACCAGAAACGTACATTTCCACTTGTAAAAATCTTGGGTGAAAAAACTATCTTATTCTTAAATCTGAACGTTGAGTCATATGGAGGACATGTTAATCTATATGAAACGCATATCATGCCATCTCAGCATGTTTTTATGATTGAAATAAATACATTTTTATACGCATTTCACCCCTAAAATGTCAGGCCCTGTCACAGACAAATTTGTATATGTTAGAATGGTTTCCTAATGAATTTCTTTGATACAAATAGCATTTTCTTATTGGTCACATGTCCCTGATTGTATCTAACATGGTTTTGTAATTTCTATAAGGAATATAAGCAACTTTTCGGTCAACTGTAGTACTCAAAATCACAGAATACCCCGCCAGGCACTCGTATAGTTGTAAAAAAACTGCCTTTACATAGGAGATTTTTTCAAAAACGTAGTAGTGGATATATACTCCAACCTTCATCTACACAGTTACAGAGATTAATTCATCAATATTTCCTCAAATATTAAATTTTTATAACACAATTTCCTGTGTGACAGGACTGACCGAGGCATGACAGGACTGACTTTATGGATTTCGTTGATGCAGAAAAAGTTATGTTTTGTGTTCTTTATTTAAGTTTTGATAAGCATTCCTATTTTAAATTATTATTATAATTTTAATGTTAATGTAATATTAGACTATGGTAAAGTTCAGCCAAGGACATATAATCAGGGCCTAATTCATTAGAATATGATTGACAAATTAATAAACTAATTTTATTTTATTTCAATATAAAAACATTTCATTTAACAATTTATTAAAATTCCATTTAACAATAACATGGCCCGATACAATAAAAATAAACAACTAGAATTGCACAATGGCACAAACGCAGACAGGAGTGAAAACCAAATTGTAATGGTAATACTAATATGTTAAAATTAATTTAACAATAACAATTACCAACCTGAATGGCACAAACTCAGACAGGAGTGAAAACAATAACCCCGTGTTGTGCTACGCGTACGCGGGTGTAATAAATATAAATATAACTTCATAATATATAAAGTATATTTTACTATGATACAGCAAATGTATAGACATTTAACTGAATAGCACAAAGTAAAGTAACTGTGGTACCACATAATATTACGGCTCAGTAATAACAGGGCAATACTATGATAATATCTGCATTATTACTTAGGAAATTACATGGTAATAACGGAAATTGCATGTAATTTCCTAGGTAATAATGTAGATATTACCATGGTATCTGTATGAATTGGAATAATTACAGTCATCATTACATAAAGCTTATATAGATGACAATTACATCTATATATGAAGAGTTTATTTGCAAAAACAGATAACTCCGTTTTTTTACATTTTCAAAAATCATGTTTTTTATTATGTAATCATGTTTTTATTGTGTTTTATTGTGTTAGTTAGCTGTAATTATTAGTTATTTTTTTACCTA